AACTCACATTTATACATACACCAGTGCACACACAGAGAAAGCTGCACACAGCTCTTACCGGCAGGGATGCTCTCCTCTCACTCCAGAGTTGTGGCTGACGTTTCTTGTGGCCTCTGCCCTCCTTCTCCTCATCGATCAAGTTGTGGCCCCAGAAGCTGCTCATCCATTTTGCAAAGAAAATATCATCATCTTCATCATATTCCATGCACAGGTGCTCCAAACTTGGGCGGGGGGGGGGTCTCCCAGCCAGACAAGGCAAAGCCAGACAGAGGTGAAATTCCACCACCAAGCCAGTAGCTCCACACTGTTCTGCCAACAAAGGAAGCAGACACACAGTTTCAAACACTCTTTCTGCACTCCCTCCCCAAAACCCGTCCCACTGCAGCCCCAGGCACTGTCTAAACACAAAGTCAGGCCTTTCTCATCTCTTTTCAACTAGGTTTCCTTTAACCTTTCCATTGCAGTGATGTCCAATATGACACTGCCCCAGGGGGTGGGTGGCAGGGCTGGGGCTGCTCCCTGTGCTGCTGCTGAGTGCCCCAGCTGTCAATACCAATGCAGAATTGCCCACAGTTACATGCCTGCAGGGGGCAGGCCCAAAGTGGGCTTGTGATTTTTGAGAAGCAGCATTGACATATTGATGCTGGTCAGAAACTGGCTGGCTCTGTGGGAGGGAGCACAAATGGCCCACTGTCTCTGATGCTCTCTCTCGTCTGACTTCTGTTGCCTCTGCTCTTCCTCCAGTATTTCAGAAACATCATCTGCCTGTGTAGAAACCCTTCCTAAAGCAACTGCTCATTCATTTTTGGGCTATGACAGACAGTGCAATCTTGCAGCTGCTGCTTTTCACCTGAGTGATTTCATCTGCCGTATCAGGGATATGGGAGGCCCTGCCTCACTTGAATGCACTCAGGGTAAAAATGTACTGGTTCCTCCTTACCAGCTCTGGGTGTAAATCATACAGGCCTTGCCTCTTCCACACAACAGAGCAGGGCCAGGGAATGAGTTCTGGCCCTCAGACCAAGTGTCTAAACTGAGCACATGTACCCTGCGTGGTGTCTGTGCTGAGGGTCTCCTCCAGGCTCTGTACTGCAATTACTGCACTGTGGCTGTAATACTTTGTTGTCATTTTTACGCCTCCTTTATTTAAAAATCTCTGATATAACACAAAAACTGTTGTGGTTCATGAAACTGTTGTCTGCATGGTATGAAACTGGAAGATGTTTCACGTGCTTTGGGGCCTGCCAGGAGGACAATGAGGGCTCTGGGGCTGTAGAGCCTGTTGGGATGGTGCTGGAAGGCTGCATGGCAGGAAGAACCCAAATTGAACTTCTTACTTGTTGCCACATTTCTCTTCACAGAGAAAAGCAAGGTACAATTCTTCCCAAGAATATTTCTGGGTTTCACATTGTCTGAACCTCAGAGAAAGAAAACCCAACTCTTATCTCATTTACTACTCCTGTGTTGTTCACAAGTGGAATGCTTTGTGGAAGTTTGCTTACCTGAAGGGAATTGGTGACTGGATTCTGGTGTGAGTGTTTTGATTCATTGGCCAGTTGAATCCAGGTATGTGTGTTGGGACTGTTGGCTGACAGTCACGAGGTGCTGTGCAGTGCAGTGGAGTGTAGTTGAGTTTAGATCTGCTTGGCAGATTCAGTTTAGATGTAAAGTAATAAAATGTAAATATAATACAGAATAATATAGTATAATAAAGTAACTAATTAGCCTTCTGATAAGATGGGGTCCTCCTCATCATTTCTCCCTGCCATGGAGGTGGTCTTGCTACTATACTTACTGGAAGCAAACCCTGGTGTGTGCTGGTGTTCTTCTGGTGCCCAGATATTGCTGCGGAGATGCTGGTTGGTCCTGGCCACAAATATGCCAAAAAGCTTGCTGGTAATTTGGCATTACAGAGAACCAGTGGTCCAGCATTAAACGTTTCCCTCAACCTGTTTAGAATGACAGATGTGGCTACAAAACTCCAGTTTCATTCATGAGGGTGTGAGGTGTGAGTACAGTGTGGGACTGTTCATTCCCAAGAACACAGGTGAAGGGAATGGTTGGCCATGAATATCTGTGTGCCCAATTTTACCTTGTCCAGGGCAGGAAAGAGTGTGATTACAGAGTGACCTGAGTGCATGGGTGTGCAGATGGCATTGCCTCAGGTGTTTTATATGAGAACTTGGGGACACAATCATCCCTGCAGCAGCCTGGACAGGAGCAAGAGGGATACCTGCAAAACAGTACAGCAAGGAGACACCTGAAGCAATGAAAAGGATGCGTAGGCTGATTTTCTAGGTGGGGAAGGACCCTCCTGGCCATATTCAAGCCGCCTGAATTTGACTTACATCCTGGAGGCCACCCATCTGTGCAGGCAAGGCACACCTGAAGGCCTGCAGGAAGCATGTGGGTGGAATTGAGGCTGTCCCAGCAGGAAACTATTGACCTGTTGGATACATATTTTCTGTTGTGAGGAGAACAGGGAGAAGGGTCGTCCCACAGCTTTGTCCAAATATGCTTACATAAACAGTAATAATTCATCAATTAAAGGACATTTCTCAAGTTGTTTGCTACCAGGCATGCAGGCACACTGACTAAGAGTGCAGCAGGGCAAATTTTAGTTGGGATCCTGAGGTGTTTGCTTTGCAATCTTATTGTTGTTTTTATTTGCAGCCCTTTTTTCTTCTGTGCAATATGTCTTCTCACATTTCCCTCCTACTTACAATGAAATTTTCACACGAGATGACTGGGGCTGATTGTAAAAATGTATTAAAAACAACTCCTCTTCATCTTCAGCTGAGTGCTCCAGGGAAATAAGTGGAGACAAAAACATAAGCTTCCTCTGCCTACAGTTAAGGATTTTAACTAGGCATAGAAACACACATGAACAAAATTCCAGTATTATATATTAAATTATTTTTATGACAGATTCAATTAATAACAGGGAAGAAAACATGAAGATTTAATTTATAACAAGGATTGCTCCAAAATTCTTAAGTACAAAGTCCTAGAAAGTTTGAATCAGCCACATTAGCTGAAACTTCCCAGAATTAGAGAATCAACCAGGCAAGGTTGGAAGAGGCCACAGTGGATCATCTGGTCCAACCTCCCTGCTTGAGCAGGGCCATCCCAGAGCACAAGATTGTATCCAGACACATTTGGAATATCTCTAGTATGAAAAATGTGTATTTTATGATTGGCTTGTCGTAAACATTAAAATGAGTATTACATGTATTATATTAGAAAGTTATGTATTGTCTTAAGTAGTGTGTTAAATATAGGTTTGGGTAATAACATAATGTTAAAATAGAAACTATGCTATGTAGGATACTTTTTTTAAAGAAAGGACTCGCACTGAGATAGCAGCCACAGGACACCTAAATCTTTCAGAGAAAAATAATTTATTGCTCCATTATCAGAAGAAACGAACTTCTTCCTGCCTCGCTCAGCCATGAAGACACCATCAAGATTAAGAGGAAGAAGTTGACACTGACCAGACAGAACCCTGTGTTTGAATGGAATTTATGCATAATGTATAAGGTGTATGAATATGAAACAAGCATATTTAAGGATTTTTAAGGGTTAATCCTCTGTTGACGTGTGCCTTTTTTCAGGCTTATTTTGCCCAGAAAGAGGTAGCCTGACTGTCGGTAACTCTTTGTTCCTATTGTCTTGTGTTGTCCTCAATCTCAATTGTTCAAATTTTTATTACTCTAATTGTATTACTATTTTTATAACCATTTTATTACTATAAAACTTTTAAAATTTTAAAAACAAGTGATTGGCGTTTTTCACATCTAGTGAGGGAAACTCCACAACTTCTCTGGACAACCTGTTCCAGTGCTTCTGCACAGCAAAAATTTCCCCCTCACATTCAGGTGGAACTTCTGTGCATCAGCATCTGCCCATTGCCTCTTGTCCCATTGCTTGGCACCACCGGGAAGAGCCCGGATCCATCTTCTTGGTATCCCCTCTCCAAGTACTTGTGACATTGATGAGGGCGTCTCTCCTCAAGGCCGAACAGGCCCAACTCCCTCAGCCTTTCCTCCTCTTAAGAGTCCCTTAATCACTTTCGCTGCCCCTTCTCAGACCTGCTCCAGGAGCTGCACGTCTCTCTGCTACTGAGGAGCCCAGAATTGGACACTTTTCGTGTGAGCGGCTCAGACCGCCTTCGGCACTTGTGAAAAATGCATGCATTTTATGATGGGCTTTTCGCAAATATTAAAATGAATATTATATGTGTGGTGCTAGAAAGTAATGCTGTATTAATTCTCTTAAGTACTGTGCTAAATATAGTTTTAGGCTATAAAAATTGTTAAAATAGAAACTATGCTATGTAAGATGCTTTGTTTAACAAGAAGGGCTTGCAGCGAGATAGCAGCCACAAGACACCTAAATCTTTCAGAGAAAGGGAATTTATTGCCTTCTTATCAGAAGAAACGAACTTCTTCCCGCCTTAGAGGCGCTGTTAGGATTAGAAGGAAGAAGCTGACACTGACCAGACAGAATCCTGTGTTTGAATGGAATTAATGCATCATGTATGAGGTGTATGAATATGCAACAGGCTATAGGTCTTAAGGGTTAATCCTTTGTTAACGGGTGTCCTTTTTCGGGCTCGTGATGCCCAGAAAAAGGTACCCGGACGTCCGTAACTCTTTGTTTTTATTGTCTCATATTGTCTTAATTCAATTTGTGCAAATTGTTATTACTCTAATTGTATTACTATTTTTATAACCATTTTATTACTATTAAACTTTTAAAATTTTAAGAACAAGTGATTGGCGTTTTTCACAGCACCGATCTCTCCTGACCCGCGGCCATTCCAGCGCTGTTTCCGAGGAACTCCCCCGAACCCGGCCCCGAACCCGCCCCGGGTCCGCCCGGGCTCCCTCACAGGGCTGCGGGAGCCCCTCCGCTCCGGCAGGGGGCGCTGCGGGCAGGCGGAAGCAGCGGCGCTCCCGCGCCCTCCCGGCGCGCCCCGCGTGTCCGCTGACCCTCCCTCCTCCTCTCCTCCTCCTCCCGGGCGTCATGGCCGCCTCGAAGCCCGTGGAGGTGCCGGGCGGCGGCGGCACCGGCGGGCTGTCGCGATGGCAGCTGGCGCTGGTCCTGGGCACGCCCATCCTGCTGGGAGCCGGCGCGGTCTATCTGTGGGGGCGGCGGGCGGCGCGGCGTGGAAAGGGCGCTAGCGAGCGGAAGACCCCCGAGGGGCGGGCGAGCCCCGGGCCCGGCAGTGAAAGCGGCTCCGGGCAGCCCGACGGGCCCGGACACGAGGAGATGGTGAGCGGGGAGCGGCGCCGCCCGGAGCGGCGGCAGGGCCGGGCTCGCCGCGCGGGGAGCCGGGGTCCTGGGGCAGCGCGGGGATGGCCGGGCTGGAACTGCCGCCGGCAGGGCCCGACGGGCCACTGGGCCCGACCGGAGAGCCGGGGCGCCGGTCCCCAGCGAGGAGCAGCGTGTGGTGGGATGGAGCTCGGGTGACATCCTGGTCGTGCTCTGCGTGACACGCCCGGCAGGTCACGGAATCACAGGCTGGGTCGGAAGGGCCCTCGGTGGGTCATTGATCCAAGCTCCGGGGTCGAGCAGGGTCATCCCAGAGCACATGGCACAGAATTGTGTCCGGATGGTCTGGAATACCTCCAGTGAGGGAGACTTCTCTCTGAGCAACCTGTTCCAGTGCTCGGTCACTGCACGGTAAAGAAATTCTTCCTCATGTCCATGTGGAACTTCTGTGCTCAGTTTCTGCCCATTGCTTCTTGTCCCATTGCTTGGCACCACCGAGCAGAGCCCAGATCCATCCTCCTGATGCATTTCCTCAGATCCTGATAGATAATGATGAGGTCCCCTCTCAGCCATCTCTTCTCAAGGCTGACCGGGCCATGCTCCTTTAGGTTCTGCTTCTATGAGAGATGCTCCAGTCCCTTAAATCATGTTTGTCACCCTTGGTTGGACATGCTCCCAGATTTCCATGTCTTTTTGTGATCAGCCTTTGTGACCCACTGAGCTCCTAGCCAGGCATTTGTGATTGCAGTTCTGCCCTTGCCACACAGGGATCAGGATTAGTTTGTTCCAAGATCAGGCATTGCCAAATGCATCTTCTCATCAAGTGGCTGAGCATGGATCTGTGCTGCTGAGAGGGGAACATACCTCTGTCTTTGAGGTCTAGAGTAACTGTGAATAAGTTTCCTCCAGGAATAGTGTTTTGAAAAGGAAATCTGTGATCTGGTGTGAGATGCTGTATACAGCAGAGTGGAAAGAAAACACAATTAAGATTGTTTTAAAATGGAATAGTATGTTCTATGAAAATATAGAAGCCACACAGTTCATGCAGCACAGATTTCAAAGTGTAGAATTTGCCTAAGTAGGCATGCTCTCAAAGCATACATCTATCCTGTTGTAAATTACCCTTCTGAGAACTTTCAGATAAAATGATCTGTGCAAAAACTCAAGGACAACATGTACGATTGGAGTCCAGATTGGATCTATGGTGTTGGAAAAAATGCCTCTAAGTTGCACTTTCTGTCCATCTGCAGTCCCAGATGTGCCTTGCCAGTCATGCAGCATCACTGAGGTGTGGTTGCAGGTGACAAGCATGTTTAAAGTAATGGATTTGACAAACTGATGGCCTTTGATGAGAGTATCCCACGCTGCATTTTCCTCTCCGGTTCTTGTGCATCACCCAGAATGCTTTGAACTGTCAGACTGTTAGAGCTTGCCATCTGAAATGATGAGGAGAGAAGAGGAATCACCTCTTGGAGACAGGGAGAAGTCTGTTCTAACCCTGATGGTTGGAGTGGTGCAGACTGACACGCTGGGGCGGGCAGTGGCAGGCGCATGGCAGTGGAGGGGAAGGTGGCAACTTCCCCAGCTGGTGAATCATAGCTGCTCTCAGGCATTCCCAAAGCACAGTAAATCCTTTGCTGCACCTCGAGGCAGTTACTTCAGTGCACTGATTTGTTCCTTCCTGGGCACCAAACAGTACAGAAGAAGTTGTGTACAGAGGACAAGTGCAGACTGTTTACTGTGGTAGCTGTGGCTCGTGGCTGCAAGCAGCATCTGCTGTACTTATGGGAGTGTGCTTGCTGCAGGTGAGCTCTGCAGGGCTGCAGGCTGCTCCTGACCTTTGTCTTTCTGCAGTGCCTTCCCTGTTAGTGCCTTCACTCTGGGTTTCTTGGTTTGTGTTTCTGAATTCCAGCAATATCCAGTTGTAGTCATTCTGCAGTTGTAGGAGGGAGGCACTTAAAACATTTAAAACACTTACGTAGCATTTGATTTAAAATATTGTGTGTTGCTCCGCAAATTGAATTGCTAGAAGGCTGTGTGCATTTAAGGGTAAGTTGAGTGGTATGACCTGATGGAAAATTTCTTGAAGAATATCATTGCTTATACTGTAAAGAAATGAGAGGTGTTGCTTAGGAAAGCTGCAGAAGTTATCAGATTTGACTGATTACATGAGATAATCGTCTAGCTGGTCAAAATATGGCTGCATCAGGAATATAAATGTGGCTGCTAGTTCCCAGGACTGCTTTGTGTGTGTGTGGAGGATTGTCTTCCTGTTACTCATATCCAAAGCAATGATGCCATGTAGATTTCATGTTTCCTCTCATATTTTATTAGTTATGGATATTAGTGGTAAGACCCATGATTGAAAATACAACCACTGCAGATGCTGCACTTGTAAAACTGCCTGTATTGTATTAATCTGCCTCTCTAACGTGATGAGGTATTTTTTGAAACTCAGTTGGATTTCATGTACAAGTCTGCACAGTGAATAAGAGCCAGTAATTCATTCCACAGTTGAAATACAACAGGAAGGTCTTTTGGAAAACACATAGGTCAATAATGAATCTGCTACCAACAGCTGTGTCAGCTAACTATTCTTTTACTCATAAATGTAACTTAGGACTCACACTGTTCTGTGCTTTTCATTAAATCAGCCCCTGTATCCATTTGATGTTCTGGTCACTGTTTCTGAAGACATTACCGTGAAATTTTTTTCTTTGTTTTTTAAAAATAAATAAGGTCCTATACCTTCCCTATTCTTTATTCTGACTTGTTACTATTCTGCATGCAGCTCAAGCTTTTCTTTTACCTGCTGCGCAGGCCTCACATTTTTTTCCCAGGCTGTGTCTGCACCAGAGGATTCTCCTGCCATTGATGCACTGGCCAAGTGTGTGATCTGTGACTGACACTGTGTTGGCACAAGCCCTTGGCACAGGTGCTATATTGGGAAAAGCTGAACTACTTTTGAGGTTCCTTCTCCTGTAAGCACAGTTCCTTAGCAGTAAACCGGTGTCATTGGGCCAGTTAAGTGATGATGATGATAAAACTGCATCTATGGATGGCTCAAAGGTCCTAAAGCCAAATTGCATCTGTTCATGACAGTTGTCATTGTGTCTTGTAATTTGGATGGAATGTGTTTTAGTCACTCAGTAGCAGTTGTTTTTCACATGCTCTCCTGGTTTGTAGGGAGTATTGCATAATTAAAATACAGAGTGCTTTGCATATATTGCTTTAGTTGGCGCCCAGTTGATTTATTTTTTTTGTAACTTATTCCATGATAAATTCTTAGCAGGTTTTATACCCTCCTTGTCTTACAGGAGTGAGCAGTGGTTAGTCAGTGAGCTAATGTGTTGGTTGCTTCAGTATTTTTCCCCCCTGAAGTTGGAATCAATTCCTTTTGCAGCTCTGTGGTAGTTCAGATCTGAGCCCTTAACTCTTTCAGCAGGCTGACAGGGTAACCCTGTGTTTGGTGTGAGAGGAGGGCAGCTGGGTGGCCCTGTGTGTTTCAGACAAAGCCCTTGGGGTCACAGCAGCCCTGTCTCTGCACACTTTGCTGCGGGCTGGGCCCTGTCCTTGAGTGCAGTGTGGGTGAACGTGACAAACTCCTCGGCCTTTGTGGTGCCACATTCCGGGGTCAGCAGCCAGCCAGCCAGCGTGGCTTCTCTCCAGTGTCTGTTTTAGTGGCAATTGCTGAATGCTGCTCTCTCTCTGATGTGACATTAGATCAGGATGTGAACAAATTGAACCCCTTAGTCTAGATACACTCATGCTGGTACTTACTCTAAATTGATCTAAGCAAAGGAACTAAAAAGTCATTTCTATTGTACTGTGCACCTGTTGCTTAGTAAATCTCACTGTCAGCCTACTGCAAGTCTTCTATTTCGTGCTAGCTATGGTGGACAGGTGTAGAAAACCCCTCAATGTGTGTACAATAGCAGTAAAACTGTTAGACTCGTGGCTTATTTATTTAAGGCGTGGATGGCAAATTCATTTAACAGGAAGGTGACTGCGAATACAGTGAATTTGTTCTGTAAACTTCGTTACCTTTTTTCTGAGTGTCATACATCCTTGCTTGTGCTTTGAATTTACTTCTAAAGCTCATGTAAACATGCTTTTTCTCATTGTGGTTTTAGTGCTAAAGAGACTTTTAAAACCATTTATGTTCAGTTAATGCCTTTGTTTGAAAAAAGACTTGAGATGAACCTTAGTAAAAAAAAAAAAGCGGAAAGATAGGTATTCAGAAAAGAACAGGGTTTTTTTTTCCTGGTACCTCATCTCGTTAAGAGGCTTCTCTCACTTGCAAAAGACAAAAAAGAGGCCCAGACCAAGGCTTTCTTTTTTTCAGGTTGAATTAAGATGGCTGAAACAGTAGTCACCCCCCATGTCATCTGTCAGATAAGGGCTCATGCAAATCCTTTTCAACCAAGAGAAAATGCTGAAACTTTGCTCATGCTTCTGTTGTGAATCGCTGTCATCATTGGCTGGCAGGAAATTTCTTGTTCTGCTTTGAATAACAGTCTCCCTCAAATATATAAGGTTCTGAATAGCTAGTTCAACAATACTGCTTTCGCAGGGAGTTACTGAGCATTATTATTCTTGCAGCTGGCAGTCTGTTGCTGTAAGGTTGCTGTTTGCACACAGTTTCTGGACATTTTGCGAGAAAAGCACATTTGCTGAGGTTAAATTAGAAGTTCAGAAAATTTTCCCAGTGTTGTCTGCTCTTTAGACAGTTAGCAATCTGCTTGTTCGGGTACCTGGGTAACTGATAACTCAATTTCACACGTGTCCTTTGGCTTAAGCTCTGTTCTAAAACTTGTTAAGCAACAGTTGCTGAAGGCAGTCCTAAGTAGAGATGTTATTTTTTGTGTAGCTGAGATGTTATTTTTTGTGTAGCTGCAAATAACTTCTGAGTTATTTGTTTTGTTGCTCTGTTAGGAACTTACATTCATTTTATTGAGCTGGTTTGGTTGTTGCACAGATTCTTTGACCAGAAGATGACAAACTGGAGAGTTTTTCTTGCTCTGCATGGACCTTCACCTTGGGGATAAAAAGTGCCCAGTGTGCCACACAGCATGGTTCAGGTCAGGCTGGGAGAAGCAGTGAAATTGGAAAATAATGTCTAGAATTCTTATTTTGGCAAGAAAACAGAAGAATGAGGTTTTTGATTACTTGTGCATAAAGTTTGTTTGCATAATCAGCTTCTTAAGTACTATCTTGTGTATGTCCAATGTAGCAATTGAGAAGGAATTTTTAAAAATATGCTTAAAAATTTTGTAAGGGTTAAACTTAAGTCTTGACAAACCTTCAGAAACTGATGTGAGGAATTAATTTTCATTTTCTTATTTGTGCTGTCATGAAAAGGTATTGCAGCATGTAATGTGATATGAGTTCTTTAATATCTTTTTTTTTAAAAAATAAACAGCTACCAGAAAACCTGCAAACCATGAATAGCAAAAAACCCCACGAAACCAAACAAAAACCTACATTGGATTTGGTGGTGTTTTGGGTGCATACTGAGGGCTACAGCAGAGTAGTTTGAGTAAGGGTGCAGAAACAAAACATCTCAGAGCAAGCAGTGTAGTTTAAGGCAGCATAAACAAACAAGTTGATTTCTTCCTTGCCTTGGGCAATGCTGCTAAATGACTTTATTGAATTGAGAGCATGTTGTGCTCCAAGCTCTGAGTCCTTACCCCACATTTCCTGCCTCATGCCATGGGTGCAGCAGGGGGTAACCAAGGAGTCAGCAGATGTTCCATGATTCATTTCTGTATCAGTGGGTGTGTGGTCTGTGATCCTGCAGTGGTTCCTGAAAGTTCACTCTCATAACAGAGTTACTGATTTCAATAACTTGGGCATCCTGTGTGTAGTCTCTGAAGTTTTTGGTCACTGTTGTGTGCACTTGTAGGCTTGTGGGAAGGCTTGATAGTAACCTAGTAGTAGGTTAGTAGTAGTAACCTAGCTGCAGTTAGGCTTCATCTCTGCAATTTTAAATCATTTTCACACTGGGAACATGTGTGAATGTTACAACATGGCCCATATAATGTGTTTTTCTTTTTCAACCCAAGTTAATAGGAATGGCACTGATTTTTGTAAGATTTTCACACAAGGGCATCTTTAATTTGGTTTGCTCTAGACATGCACAAGGAAAAATTCAAGCTGACTTGCATGCATTTAGCTGCAGCACATGCATAACCCTTCCCTTTGTTAAAAGAAAAGCATTGTTGTTTTTGGAGATAAATTTAGGACCGACTCAAAATAAATTTAACCTTTTGAGACTTTGGTTAAGTTTTAAAGAAACAATTTACCAGATACACAGTTACTTGCCTCTCAGTAAAAATAGTTGCACTCTAGTTTTGGCATGGAGTAGCATAGAGTTACACAGTGTATGGGCTGAAGTTAATATTCTTTTATCAAATTAAATTTGGAGCTTTACAATAGAAAAATCTGAAAACCTTGCAGATTGCCTTGTTCTGTGAACAATAAAGATGGTGCAGATTGATGCAGTGATTAATGACTTGAGAGAAGAGCTTTGCTGGCAGTAGGGATATTTAAGAAATTCTCTCCCTTATATGGTTTCACTTGTAAGTCTTCCCTCAGGAGAATGCTTCTAGGATACTTTTGTTCTATTTGGATGCCTAATTTTAGGTAGGAACTGAGACTAGCACCAATTATCTGATTCTCTCTTGCCAGGATAGGCTTTCAGGCCTTAAAAGACAGATTATAGAGCAAGTCCTGGCTTCCCCTCAGGTTTTCAGTTTTAAAGTAAATCACTTAGATGCAAAAAATGATCAGGTTGGGATGAAATGAGCAGACATTAAGGGGAATGGGCAAATGAAATGCAAAATTGCTTTCAAATTTGTGTTATAGCTGTCTTGTTGGCTGTATCTGTTCAGTTTGGCCCTGGCAGGGGATAACTTGGTAGAGGAGTCAGAAGTGTGGTCAAAGAGCAGCAGGGACAATTCCCAACAAATCCTCAATGATCTGAAGTGCAGGGGATATGAGGAGAATCCTGCAGCTATTGTTAAAGGCACTTCTGCCCCCAGTCTGTAGCTTTTCCCTGCCCAGAAGGGCTGGTGGAATGGCATTTGTGCCCTTACTTCTGCTCATTTTGGTCAGGCAGAATGCCCCAAAATGTTGTCCATGAGGTGAGGCTGTGACAGAAGAGCAGAAATCCAGAAGATCAATATAAGAATCTTTTGCAGTTCTTATTTCTTGAGTGCTCTTTGATAGAACATTTTTACATCTAATCCCTTACAAAGCACAAGATTTGATAAGTAATTTGTAAATCCAGGGGTTTCAGGTAGGTAGCAATGTTAATTTCTGCAGAAATGCAGATCATCAACACGTGGTGCAGAACATAAAGATGCATTTAGCAGGGTCTCAGGCCAGTCAGGAAGGTTTCCCATCCCCTGCTGAGGTGGTGAGGGTCCAACACTTGTCATTACAGGAAGCAGGGTGTGTGAAGCTGTAGAGGAGTCAGCTGTAAAGTTGATTTGCCTAGAGCATGAAAGGCAAACCAGCTTCATTTTCCTTACAGGTTTTATTTGTCTTGCTCAATAGGTCTTTCCACAAAGTGTTTTCCATATTTAAGTCATAGTGTGATGATCACCTCTGGTCCTAGGGCTGTATGTATTTCAGGAGGCTCTGCTGTTTGAATTGCTTTGAGGGCTTTGTTGTCTTTACACATTCAGCCTTTGGAGAAACAACTTACCTCATTGGTTCTGATCACCAGCCATGTAAAAGATTACAATCTGCTCAGCTTTCCAAACAGAAATCACTGCATTGTTTATTACCATTGTAGTGAATCTTGTGTAAAGGTTATCCCCTATCTGATACACTTGCAAAAGAAAATTCTCATGTGTTTCCAGGAACTGAAATCAGTGAGATTTTTCAGAAGTCTGGGTAAGAGTTTACAAGTCAGGTCCATTTTTATATCTTTGAAGATGAGCCCTAAAGTGCATAGCTTGTGTGCTGTGATGCCTTTTTAATTTGAACTGACCTCTCACTTTCTTTTTCAGAGTCCTCTTGGTAGAGCCCAAGCAGCCAAGAACAAAGGAAACAAGTACTTTAAAGCAGGAAAATATGAGTTAGCTATTCAGTGTTATACTGAGGCTATCAGCCTGTGTCCTCCTGAGAAAAACCTTGATCTTTCTACCTTCTATCAAAACAGAGCTGCTGCCTATGAACAACTGGTAAGAAGTTAAAGATAATTATGTGTTTATTGTAAAAAGTAGCATTATCAATTTTGTATTTTGTCACTTTCATCCACTGAAAGGTCCCAAGTGATAACATCTGCTGCATTCACAACAGATGATGTTTTCTTTTCACAAAAGATGCTGTTGCAGCTTTTTTCAGCTTATCATACTTTTCTACATGTAAATAAAATTATTTTCTGTTGACCACACTCAGTAGATCTTATGTAATTCTTATGCATCTTGTTCTTCCAAGACAAAGTTTTAATTTCTTATTCTCTGGAAGAATTTTCTTGTATATAAGTTTATTTTGCATCTCTCTACTTGAGTGATTAACTGAAAGGCCAGATATTTTGGAGGGATGCTACTTCAAAATGTAAACAAAAGATCATTGAAATCCTAGTAAAGGCCAAGATCTAAATTTTGCACATGGGGAAGTAATGTTTACTGGACAGCTGAGTATACTGGGTGTTATTTTAGAAGTCAGCCAGTGTTGCTTATTATGGTATGATGGATTTGCCTATGAGGTCAGGTTGGTGAGCTGTATCAAGGAGTGGAAAAGTCTGAAGTATCAGGTGAGAGACTGTGCTTGCATGAATCTGGCATTGGATTTAGTTCTTGTCCAGCACAAATTCATGCCATAATGAATCCCAAATGTATATGATTCCTGTATTAGAAAAGCCTGTTTTGATGAATTGAAATAACATTAAAAAATAAAGTTTCAGCACTTTGATAAACTTGTTTGCTTCCATTATATTTCCATCTTCTTTCTTCTAGCTGTTTTACACCAGTCTTTCAGCCCCAGTGTTACCTCCTGCAAGCATCTTTGCATCAACTCATTATGTTCTCCCATGGGATTTGTACACTGTCTGGTTTACAAATTTTTGTACACCAAAAATTTAGTATTGTGTAGGAATTCCATTTCTGGTGCAGGAGTTGGCAGTTTTGTGCCCAGGCAGTTCCTCCCTGTGGCACTGCAGGGAGGAGCAGAGCCCTGGAGCCGCAGCCGTCGCTGGGTGTGTGTGACCCCAGAGCTGGGGGAGCCTCCAGGGAGCTCAGGGGGGCCCCTCTCACTGTGCTCTTCTCCTGCCCACAGCAAAAATGGACAGAAGTGGCACAGGACTGTACAAAGGCTGTTGAGCTCAACCCTAAATATGTCAAAGCTCTCTTCAGACGTGCAAAGGCCCATGAGAAGCTAGACAATAAGAAGGAATGTTTAGAAGGTGAGTGGCTCATGCTGTGTGTACTTAAAAGTGGAATTAGTTCTGCTGCTTTGGAGATGGCAACTTTTGGAAATGTTTTGTTTTCACTTCTGTAGCTACAGTCATGCAGTAATGTAATCATTATGTATTTAAAACCATTCAGAACTGCTGCAAATACATACTCCTCTTGTCAGAAGAAACCTGTTCACATTTCTCAAACTTTGATCTGCTCACATCTGAAATGACTGCTGAGAAATTGATGTTACTGTAGCAACTCAAGGTATTATTTTTCCAGGAAACTCCTTCACTTTAGTATAGAATTAATCTAACATGAGTGGATAACCAGTTGTTCTATTTCAATGCAGTAAAGAGACTTTCTTCTTTGTTTGTTTTAGAGAAATTATACTGCTACAGAAATGTGGGGTTTTGCAGGTGGAGATGCATGGTCAGAAATAAAAGTATTCCAGTAATTTAAATGCTTTGGACTGGTATTAGAGGGAAAAGAGCTTCAGTAGCATTTTTTTCTGGTGCATTGTTTATGAAAACCAGAACAGATTGATTTTTTTTTAAATATTAATACTTTGTATTCAGGAGAAATTACTGTGTCAAACCTTCCAATGCTATTTGTAAACAGAACACATTTTGAACTGTCAGGAAGATGTCACTGAGAAGCCATGGAAATTAAGAACTACAGGTCAGATGTGTTGTCTCATGACACTTTTGAGCTACAGTACACTGCTTGAAATTACCCATTTAAATTTCATCAAGTGAAATCATTCCTGCTGATTTCCTGTTAGGTTAAAAGACAAATGAGATTTTCAGCTGTGCTCATTATCACAGGAAGACAGATAATAAGACAGTGCTTTGGCTGGGAAATCTAACTGTTAAATTAGTTTCATTATGTGTAACAGACAAGAATTAGGTCTGCCAAATTAGAAGGTAAATTAGATGTGAAAATTGTATCTATCTATCTGTTTATCTGCTGGCAGAATGCCTTTATGCCCTTTTAAGACAGTAGTAACTAGAAAAGGACAACTTGGTCCATTTAGTGCATCCTTTGCAACCACTGTGTGTCAGCTGCACTTCCAGGGTGCTGTAATAAAATCTAAACCTTATGCAGCTGCCAGGTGATAAAAGCCCCAAGGAAGATCAAGTGTCCCTGTGACAGTAGGACAGTTTTAAATAAAACTTCTTTTTACTGTTAATAGCAGTGATGCTAGTGACAATTATTTCCAGCCTTTATTTCTATTTGATTTTTTACTTGCAGTTTTTTCAGATCTGAAGCTTTCTTGCTCTTTTTTGGAACATCACTGTTTTTTATAACCCTGCTTTTGATTGCCAACCACATATGGCCAGCAAAACCCCGGGAAGTAGGGTATGCCCATGTAGTGGAGGAAAGCAAAACCAAACAAACCTCAAAACCCCAGACACCACCAGCAGAAAACTCCTTCAGTGATCCCTGGCAGTATTATTTGGGAGGATGCTGCTGCTGCAGCCAGGCCTGGAGTGCAGCAGTCTTTGGGCAATGTCTGCTGGCTTTGTAGAACACATTCTTTCTGGGGGTACCATACCTTCCCAGGGACTCTGATGTGCTTCAGGACCATGCCAGAGGTGCAGGCAGTTCCTGTATAAGTGATGGCTTCATAGTCTCTCTGGCAGCAGAATTAGAGAGATGTACTAAAACTCCAGGGCAAGACATTTACTTTTCAAGCATATTCAGACAGCACCCTGCTGGAATTTCAAGTCCAGGTTCTGGTCATCTTCACTAATATTTAAATGAAAACAAAACAGGGAAAACCCATGGTAGCACTGCATTAAGTCCAGAGAAACTGTGAGTGGTAAGAGTGCATTTCACATGGGCAGCAGTGGGTTAACATTTGCAGAGGTTTCTCTGTGTGAATGAGAGCCATGTGATAGGGGCTGGCACTTCAAATAGGCCAGCAAGGTATTTCTCCTTGCTCCCTTCCAAAGTCACTGAGGTGAGCAGAAAAATTTGAGCTAGAATTTAGGCAGATTTCTTAAACTGAGGAGTAAGTGAGATGTGATGGGACTGAATGTGAAATTCAGAAGTAGAAAATAAAGACCAATCCCAGAAGAAAAGCTGTGTTAGCACTTTTAATGCAAGCACCATATGAACATAATTATTCTCCTCAAAGTTTCAAAATGGTGAAAGCCCCTGATAGAGGTATATATTTTCACTGTGGATTTAAGTGTGTTTATCTCTAGATAAAAACATGAACAGAAAAATAAATGTAATTCTTTTCATTCGCTGTCATGAAATCCTTTTATCCCAGGAAGATCATTTTGGATACAAATTTGTGTCTTGAAGAATACAGTAAATACAGCAAACTGGAACCAGGGGCTTTGGCCTGAGAACAGGATATGTATTATTTTGGCAGTACCTCATTGTACTCAGTGGCACATTTTATAGTGTACTTCAATGACTATCAGAATTCCTTTAATCTCACTTTTGTTGTTTCCTAGATGTCACTGCAGTCTGCATTTTAGAAGCCTTCCAAAACCAGCAAAGTATGTTATTAGCTGATAAAGTTCTTAAACTCCTTGGAAAAGAAAAAGCCAAAGAGAAGTACAAGGTAGGACTTGTGATACTGCTGAGTAATTGTTATTTCACCTGACCAGTTGTTGAAAAGTGGGTTGCTGGCATTCTGTCAGTTGCTGTAAACAAGTCACTGTCTGCATCTGCTCGAGCGTAAGCAGCAGCACAAACTGCTTCCTACAAAGCTGCCATTGTACCAGTGGTATTTTCCTGTGGGACCTCTCCAAAGTTTTCAGAACCTCAGCAGGGAAGAGAGATCTGCTTGTAGCAGTTGTTTCCCTTTAAAAATGGAATTCGTTATGACATTCAGGAGACACCCTAAGTTGGTGTGCTGCCCTGTGTAGGGCATTTCTGAGCCTGCAACTTCATAGAAACTGGGTGTGTTGGAACAGACAGACATCTATGCATGAGTGTTTGGAAACTGCAGAACAGAGAACTGTGGAAGCTGAGGGGTAGCCAGAACCAGTAATTTTAAGTGACTGTAGGTTTACAAAAAGGGTGGGACAGATATTAGTATGTTCTTTGTTGTTATTAAAGCATTCTTGTTTGTGTTTTGATGGTGGTTGAAGTACTGAAATCTTGTGTTGTTTTTGAGATGCTGAATTTCTTTCCTATAGCAATTCACGTAAACGTGTAGTGTGGAGGTGACAACAAATAGTGTTATGAATGTGGTGGACATAGATAGGTGTGCTTCAGAAGAGTGCATTCAGTGTTGTCCTGCAGGAGAGACTGCATTGTAATTCTTGTGTGCAGTTTATTTTAAACAAGAAGTATTTTTTGGCTGTAGAAACAACTGATCACCTGAGAAGTGTTACTTCTGGGACTTTAGGTAAAATATGTTGGCCAAGTTCCACACAGAACTAGGGCATTGCCTCATTGGTCTCCATTGTAATAATGACAGCAGCTTCTCTTGGACAGGCTGGAGAAAAGAGGAAGCTGCCATTCAGAATCTGATTGAATTTAGGGTCATGCTTATGAAATCACCAGCTTGCATTTTTCTCCCAGTTTATGTGCACACCCAATGCTTTAGTACATGTCTTATGATATCCTAAGAGTCCTTATTTCTAGCCACATATGTGGAAAGACACAATCTCCCTTCCCCCAAAAATCATCCCTTTGTTTTCACTGGTGATGGGCATTGCATTGTGATCTGAAGCTTAAAAGATCCCTGAACATCAAAATAGCAAATCCAAAACATCAGGCTATCAGATAAGAGAGTGAAAGTCATACATTGTTTCTTCCATCAGTTTTTTCTTTAATAATCATGTTTGCTATCCATTTCCATCCTTCCCATCTGATCCCACCACGTAATGACTTGGAATTTCCTTTCTCTGTTTCAGAATCGGGAGCCTCTGATGCCTTCACCACAGTTCATTAAATCCTACTTCAGTTCTTTCACAGATGATATCATTTCCCAACCTTTGCTTAAGGGTGAGAAATCAGATGAAGATAAGGACAAGGAGGGAGAGGCTTCTGAAGTAAAAGAAAAGTGAGTGTACAGTTGAATGTAAAAGTAAAAGAAAAGTGAGTGTACAGTACAGTTGAGAATTGTTTGGTACTGGAATTAAGTTTTCAGTGATTTGGATGTTCTGCTCAGTGTAACGTGCTGCTGCTTGTGAAGTACATGGCATGGAGATTCCTCTGACATAAATGACATCAGTATTGCAAGTGAAACCTTAGTGAAAGCTGAATCGCTTGTTCCAAACTTGCACTAAGCAGAAGAAGGACAATGAGACTGGGAAAATATGCTGAATATTTACTACAGTATCACAGTAAATCTTGGGAGAACTGGAGAGGGCTCAATGAAGCTTTGGGGGCAAGGAATATTTTACACTGAAGGATCACTTCCAAGGAAGAGAGCAAGTTAGCCTTTGGGCTGGCAGGGAGAAGATGACCAAGGAAAAGGGGGATTTTGAATGAAAACATGCAGTTACAGCAACTGAGGCTGAAATGATGTTTTATCTTTCTGGAATCAAATTGCCCATAAATGAAAAGTTTGTTCTGGCATAGAAAAACTTGGTTTTGCAGGTTTGTTTTGTGTTTTGTTTAGTGGAACCTGAGCACCATATAAATGGTTCTTTAATTTATTATGCTACTTTCCAGATTATTTTTGGAAGATTGCAATGATGTCAGTTTGGAAACCATTGCAAACAGCATTATGGTTTTTTTTTTTAAGTAAGAGAGAATGTCCTGATCTACAGGCAGATTCACTGAATCCAGGATACAGCTGAGAACAAGGCAGTGCTGTAATTGTTTGCTATTAAATAATTTCTTCCACATACAAGCTGCACATTGCTAGGTTTAACATTTCACTTTCCTGTCCATGAATTCCACACTCTTGTTTAAACCAGAGGTTATTGCTGTTCTTCATGTGGAAAAAAACCTCAAGGGACAAATGAAGCTCATGTTCAAAATCTTCAAAATGTTTTTCTTCTTTATTTCCAATGTAATTTGGCCAGTTTTTGTGGAAATTGTTTTCCATCTAAGATGCCTCCATCCAGGAATGGATGTTCCAATGGGACTATGCTGGTGTTGTAAAAGTATAGCACAAGTTAGTGTTTGTAATGATTTGTTTGTAATGAAACATCTGAATGGACATTGCAGTGTTCAGTGAATGCATGGATATATTTAACTGTTCTTACATCATTTACAGCTCTGGCTATTTGAGAGCAAAACAATACATGGAAGAAGAGAACTATGACAAAATTATCAGTGAAAGCACAAAAGAAATTGAAGCAAAGGGAAGATACATGGCAGAAGCTTTGCTTCTGCGAGCTACTTTCTACTTACTCATTGGCAATGCAAGTGCTGCCAAACCAGACCTAGATCAGGTCATCAGCATGGAAGATGCAAATGTGAAGGTAAGAATCTGTCACAGCTGGATTCTAGTTGGGATTGAGAAGTTAGATGATAATCTTGCAATATACTTCAAGAAGTTGTTTGTCCAAATTTTCAGATGTATTAATAGGAATATTCTGGTTTATTTATTGTTTTGTTACTGACAAACTGTTTTTCTCAAGGGCTTGTTGATTTTTGAGACCGCTGTACTGAGTAGTGCAAACTAAAGGTGATAAGTGCTACAAACTAAAGAACAGAGGGAAGCTGAATGAATTGGAGGCTTATCCACTCTGGATAAGTGAAAAGCCTTAATTGCACTTGCATATTCAGCTAGTTCAAAAAACATTGATGTATTTGTAAACATAGGAATTGAGAAGGATTTTGAGAGGGCTTGGAAATCCACAGAGATGGAAGCATAGGCTGACAGTTTTGAAATTAAATAAGGGAGCTCATTTATTTAGTGTCAATATGAAACTTATTCCTGCTTAGAATAATTGAAACCTGTCAGTGGGAGAAACTAGTCAAATGAAAAATTTACTGTGATTGATTTATTAAAAATATGGATGTTGATCTAGTACTGATATCCAACTCTAACAAAGACTCTCTAACAGTTTAAAGTTAGAAAGTGTGGGCAGTGTGTGGGATAGCCCCCAAATACACACCACAATTTACAGGTGATTACAGAGCCCTTTTATCTCTACATGATTGAATACCCAAAACACAAATGCATGTTCATAACTTTGGTACATCCCATTCCCCACTTCGTATGGTAATTAGTTCAAAAGCTGTTAAGCATGCGTAGTTTGTTCCTTAAAATGGGTCAGTGGTCCCTTTCATGGGGAGGGGTCCCAAAATGAGGAAGTAAATGATGTCTTCCTCCTTCTGACCTTTCTACCTTTTCAATGCAAATATGACAAATGAACCCTTGGTAGAATTCCCATTCCCATCTTCAATTAGTTTCAGAACAGAGGAGGCCTATAATTGTCTTATGTTCCAAAAAGCTATTTATCAGTTTCTGTATTCTTCATTATAAACCCAGCTAACCAAACATTGTGTTGACAAGCAATCATTACTTAACTACTAACTCTTAACTTCATCAAACCCATTTATTTTAATTAACTCCAATAAAGCTAAAATCTTAGTTCCTCCAAATTCCTTGAAGTTTGTGCCTCATGGTTGGACTGAAGGAGGAGCACTGGGTGGCTGACGTTTCCCTGGCCGTGTTTTGCAGCTGCGCGCCAACGCTCTGATCAAGCGGGGCAGCATGTACATGCAGCAGCAGCAGCCCGTGCTGTCCACCCAGGACTTCAACATGGCTGCTGACATCGACCCTCAGAATGCTGATGTTTACCACCATCGAGGACAAGTAAGGAACCCTTGAGATTTGATCCCAACACTTGGCTATTTCAGTTATGCTAAAAGGAAAAATGGTGTCGTTGGAGACGCTTTATACTGTTTGTGGCAGAAAAATATGAACTCCTACTTGGGAACTTTGTGGGATAAACAGTCAGTTTTGGAGGTTCAGGTCAGGCAGAAGCAATTAATTTCTATAGCTGTAGCAAAGCCCTCTCTATTATGAACTGAGACTTACAAATGTGGGGGCTTGTGTACATTTACAGCAGATAAAAGCTGTTCTGTGAAGGGGCCTGGATGGCAGAGCAGCGTCTGCACTGCAGGAAGCTTTGTTACAGCAGAGGTAACCTGGCCCTGGTAACACCTGCAGCCCTGGGCCCTGGACTGGGATCTCTTCAGCTCATCCCTCTCTGCTTTGTGACACTGCTGTGTCCTTGAGTAATTTCTAGCCCTAGAGAAGCCTGGGCTGCCACAGACCTGCAAGGTGAATGGTGCTGGAAGTAAAAAGGGAACACTGGCATATGCAGATAGGCTAAGTCCTGTTTGTAAGGAAGACTTCCATGGATCAAGGGTTTTTCTCCATGAATTTGTTAGACCTCTTTAGTGCTCAGAAATTAACATTGTGCTGTGTGTTGACTGAAGGGAATGAAAGTGTTCTGCAGATTGAAAATTTGTAGCTTCACAGTAAAGTAAGAGAATGATGAAGTGAACTCTGCTCCTGTGGAGGAGGAGAATGTCAAAACAAAACAAAAACCGAAAAAACTCCAACCCAACAAAATAAGTTGAAATAGAAGCTGGAAAAGCTGAAATGTTTCAATGTCCAAATAGTCCACAGATACTGTCTACAGAGAGGCAAAACAACTTGAGAAAATACAGTATAATTTTGGGGACTGGTCATAATGCTGACATGATGATGACAACAGTCTAAAATGCAAGAATTCTCAATCCCTACACAGGGTCATTGGCTGCTTGTGTAGGTAACCAAAGTTTCCCTGGTGGCTTTGATAACAAAATGATAACAGTGATTTTTAGTTATGGGTTTTGCAGGTTTCTAGACAGTTCTGCAGCTGAGCTGGAGATGATATCAGTAACTGATGCTAATTGAATTATCATGTAAGTGTCTGAAGCACAGATGAAATAGAGAAATAGGATTTTCTTTCATTCTGGCTAGCTGAAAATCCTGCTTGACCAAATTGAGGAGGCTGTGGAAGACTTTGATGAATGTATCCGATTGCGACCCAATTCTGCCTTGGCGCAAGCACAGAAGTGTTTCGCTCTGGTAGGTAATGTGCTGGGCTTGTCTGGCTGCTTTTGCTTTAAAGAGCTCTCTAAAACTCTCTGGTTCTCTGGTTTATTCAACAGGAAAGTTTATTTAACAGGTTTATTTAACAGGAAAGTAGGGCAACATACATCTCTGTCTTTTAATAATAAGGTAAAGGAATAATGCAACAGTTTCAGTTGGAGTATGGATTTGCTGCTTTTCTTTTGAAGCACTCATTGTTCAAACAGAAGAACATTTTTTCTGTTCTGTGAGAGGAACTAAAATCTTGATTCTAATTGGAGCAAATAAAATTGATTTTAATAAAGATTTACTATTGTGGAAAATGGTTATCATCAAGAAATTGCAAACAAACTATTTCAAGCTAGTACAATGATTCAGTGTGCAAGAATCTTGTCAGGGCAGCTTTGCATGGTGTGAACAAGGAGGAATGCCAAGTTTGGAATTTCTAAGCATTTGAAATAGAGGGAAGCAATCACAATTATCAGGCCTGATGACTTCCTTCTTTCATCTGTTTTCCTCTCCAAGTCCAGACACTTGGACAGGTTCCCAAAACCAGATTTGGTAGGATGCACAGGCATGTCACTTTCTGGAGCTTAGCACAGAATCATACAATGGCCTGGGTTGGAAGGGATCTCAAAAATCATCTCATTCCAACTCCCCCATCATGAACAGGGACACTTCCACTAGACCAGGTTGCTCAGAGCCCCATCCAACCTGACCTTGAACACTGCCATGGTTGAGGCATGCACAACTTCTCTGGGTACTGTTCCAGTGTTTCACCACCTTTACAAGAATTTTTTCCTAATATCCAATCTTAAGTCTTTCAATTTGAATCCATTCCCCCTTGTCCTGTTTACATGTTCTTGTAAAAAATCATTTTTACATACTCTTGTAAAAAATCCCTCTCCATCTTTCTCACTGCTCCCTTCAGGTATGTGAAGACCACAATTAGATCACCCCAAAGCCTTCTCTTCTTCAGGCTGAACAATCCCAATTCGCTCAGCTTTTGTAAAATAACTGAATTATTATGATGCAGGCAACTCTTGGGGAGGTGGGCAGAGGCCTGATCAGCCTTTTTTCAGTCTGGTGATGGCCTAATTTTTTTAATTTATTTTTTCCCTTGGAATAGTATCGCCAAGCTTATACAGGAAGCAATGCTTTGACTGTGCAAGCAGCCATGAAAGGCTTTGAAGATGTCATAAAAAATTTTCCCAGGTGTGCTGAGGGCTATGCTCTCTATGCTCAGGTATGTTTTTCTCTCTCTTCAAGAAAATGCTGCTTTCTCTTGTACTTTTTATCTTGCATATAACATTTCTTCAGATAACAGATGAAGATTTGTGATGCTAAGTGCTGAGAAAAGACATGCTGCATTTATGTTATGGGTGTTCTGGGGCAGAGGAGGTACAGGGGGAACTGGTGGAGCAGGGTGTAAGTAATGAGAGTTGAGGGTGGTTATTAGGAGACAGAGGTTATTCCTGCATGCTTCCCTCCTTCCTGCATGTATGTGGCATCTCAGCTGATGAATGCCAGGGATTCTCTGGATAATTTGAGAGTCAGATGTGTGGAACTAGGGTGACATTTTTGTTCTGCTGCCATTGGCATGTAGTGGTTTAGAACAGCTGTTGGGAGTCCACTTGTAACAGAGACTGTAATTTCTTCTCTAAGAACATACTGCTGGTTTTAGTAGGAAGCATGAGACATTCTGATTTTAAGTAGGTTGGCAATGTATATGCATTTCTTCTGAAAGAATTATATCTGAAAAAGGAAGAGTTTCTTTAGAATGGTTTTTATTTACAGCACACAGCTTGTAGCTTGTGGATTTCCCATTACAGGTGGCAGTGGGGTCAGTAATTTGTGCACTTAAAGCACAGAAGCTTTCCAAAAAGCCTCAATTTTGAAACTTAACTCTGGTAGCTGATGTGCCTGGCCTGCTCTATCATAAATGAACATCCAATCTCACGCTGTCAATACAGTTTTAATTAGAATTAGCTGAGTGCAGAGTGCATGCTTTGGATGCTTATTGACAAACAGGTTTCTCTTTTGATTCAGGCACTAACTGATCAACAGCAGTTTGGCAAGGCTGATGAAATGTATGATAAATGCATTGACCTTGAGCCAGACAATGCCACTACATATGTTCATAAAGGGTATGTATTGAATTTGCAGTCCTTGTGCTCGAGAGCAGTTGGCATATTTAGATGAACCACCCTGAATTGAATGTTTATGTTTAGAAATTTAGCCAGGAAAAATAACTTGAAAGCATCTTTGTGCTCTTAAATGTATTTCTATATTTTGTCTTGACTAAGCTGCAAATAAGTTTCAGGAAAGTCTCATCAATGTTCATTGCTAATTGAGTATATGCTTGAATATAATTGAGTATTCATTGCTTGAAGTATATGTGACTTTTCCTTTAGCCCTGTTAGTTTCAGCTTTGTGTTGAAGTTTTTTCTTTCATAAAACAACATGTACCAAGTCCTCTTAGGAAAAATCTGCCTTTGTTTAGAGTCATTAAAGCAGTAAAGTGGCTTATTGAAAGTGACTTTCACATAGGTGTTTTTAAAAGTCGTGAAGTTACTAAGTTACTGTGTACCTGCATTAGAAATTAAATACATTATACATTTGGGATGGTTTTGTTTACCATGGTGAGGGTTTTGGGAGGAGTATGCGAAGCCAATTTGAAATTTTCTCTCTTCTGTAGTTTACTTCAGCTCCAGTGGAAGCAAGATTTAGACAAAGGATTAGAACTCATAAGCAAGGCCATTGAAATTGATAACAAATGTGATTTTGCATACGAGACCATGGGAACGATTGAAGTGCAAAGGTAATGCTGAATTGCAGTGTTAAGAGTTCTTAGTTACTTCTGAAGTTACAGTAGTTTTTAAAATTTCCTCATGAATCCTGTCTTGAGATCTTCTCCCTGCTGTCCTGTAAGGCCAGCTCTTAGCCAAAGTCCTGATTTCTGTTCTGTAACTCTTAGGTAAAGCATATGCATTCTCTGTGGCATAATTGTGGTTTTTGATCTGACAACTTCTTATCACCAATTTCATACTTAATGGACAACGTGCAGAGGAGTCTGTGTGTGTTTAAATACATCCCTTCTGCACTTAAAGTGACTTCCTTAATCATTACCTGCCTTGTGTGTATCTGATGTTGTCCTTGGACATTGGACTGTCTGTACTGAGGATCCTGTGCTGTTTTCTGCTGCAGCCAACAGGACTCCAGCTCACAGTTCTTGGGGAAAGAGGAATGCCCTGCTCTGTAACATTGTATTGCAACTGTGCAAAGGTTTGGGGTGTAGCTGGCAGTACAGTGCAGAGTCTCTTTTTAATATGTCTAGTCCTCTAAAGGACAGACAATTAAACTATTGCCATGAGAAATTTTGCAAGCATTTCCTATTTAAATAATGTGCTTCTGTCTGTGCAAGTTTTCCTCTTTGGTATATTAAGTCCTTTCAGGGGAGATGAGACTTCATTCAGTTGCCCAGCATTATCTCTGCAGTGAACTTGGTGTCCTGTGGAGAACATTTTATCCTGCCCCAGCACCCATGGGGGCTCTCCAGAGGAAGGCTGTTTAACTGCTGTCCTAGTTGCTTAGGCTTGGTAACAGCTCTGAGTTTACTCAGCATCCCCACAAGTTCTTGTGTTGGTTCCTCCCAAAGTCCTTTTAATTTATTAATGGTGGAGAGTGTAAGCCCTGAAAGAAAAAGGATGTTTTAGAGATGACAAGATTGCTTTGGCAGCCTTAACTGGGCTAAATTTTTGTTTATTTCAGAGGTAATCTGGATAAGGCCATTGAAATGTTCAACAAAGCTATCAACCTGGCCAAATCAGAAATGGAGATGGCACACCTCTACTCACTCTGTGATGCTGCCTATGCTCAGACAGAAGTTGCAAAGAAGTATGGATTGAAACCACCGACACTGTAAAGAAACAAGGAGGAAATGACCTTCCAAAGTGAAGTTGCCCACTTCAGCCAGCCCTAAAGATGCTGTTGCAGAACATGCTCAATGGTGGAACTTAGTTTTTTCCCGTTCGTGGTGTTGTCATTTGCTACATCTGTTAAATGTTTAGGTGTTGTGGGAGTGGTTGTTCAAGGAAGTATGCAGTGCTGCATCTTGTTCCTTCTGCAGCAGAAACCTTAGAGTGTGTTAAGGGAAATAAAGTTGCAGGGGAACCAAAGGAACATATTTTGGCCATGCAAATAAAAACTTCACACTGGTTCATTTTGGGTGATTATGTTGTGGGCGATTTTTGCTTTATCAAATAATAATACAGCATGTGGGTTTTTTCCTGTTGATTTTAAAGGTAATACTAGTCAGTGCTGTAAAATAGGTTTTATATCCAATTAATCCTTGAGGGTTGATTTTAATTTTGCAAAAATTAATTTTCAAACTTTAATAATAGAGGGTTTTTTTTAAGTCAGTAGATGTGGAGAGGATACCTGTAAATATATGCAAGCATGCACAATCTTCCCTTAAATCTCCTTCCACCCTCTGCATAACTTACTTAGAAATAGTCCTGTGGCAGCTATTAGGGAATTAATTTGATAGTCCTTATTCTCACCCCAGAAAGCCCTAGAGTACTACATAGGAGAGCTAGGAAAAAAGGTTGGCTGGGGAAGGAGGTCAGTAACACTGCTTCAGTGTAGACTTTACTGGAAGAAAGAATGTATTCCTGTGCAGCAATCCTTACTTGAATGTCATGGGAAATTGTTCTGGAGGGCTCAGGGGGACTTTCAAGAACAGAAAGCACTGCTGGGAGTCAAGCTCCAAAAGGTAAGGTCATGCTTGCATATAATCTTTGTAGACTCTGATGCTTTTGCATAAGTGTAGCAGCTGATAGACTATCTAAAGTCTCTTCACTCTCTAGAGACTGCTGGGTTATGATCTCCTTTTAAGAGCCCCTTGGCAGGATTGAGATAAGGAACAAAGCATAGGCTCAAACTTCCAATAATGGAGTTGTAAACTGCACTCATTTCCTTGTTCTGTAGACCCTGTCTTGTCCAAGATTTCAGATACTGTAGAAGGAAGCAATTGTGCTGCAAACAGCAGATGGACAAATTATGAACAGTTTTCCTTTTTCCTCTCGTTATGAACTTCACAGAGGGCCCTCTTGCTTTGGGTTGATCTTTCTGGTGTGGAAGTCAGTCAGTCCATCTTGCCTTTCCCTGGGCTGATGTGGCTGGACAAACCTCATGCAAATGATGTAGCTTAATTTGTGACACAGTAGTTTGGGCTTCTTTCCATCCTGAAATCATAGATTTGTTCGTGGTGAATCGTCTGATGTATTTAACCTTTAAAGAAGTGACTGATGCTGTAGTCAAACTGTCTTGGTCTGTAGTTTGCCACCATACAGCAGCAGCTTGCATTTTCAACTTGACCTTCCTTTCTCCCAGCAACTACAGTGGAGTATTCAAATGGTGGAGAGTAGAGATAAAGATTTAATCATTATTTTAGTAGCTCACTAGGTGATGGGAAATCATAGCACTGGTGTAGGATTGAAGATATGGGAATATACTGGCAGCTTCTAGGGGCACTGAATGGAACAAGTGTCAAATGTCCTCTCCAACTTCCAATCTCAGCATCAATATCCTGAGAACAAAAATATGCCAGGCTGATGAGTCCTGTTCTCCAAGGAGTTTTTATTCGCATGGCCTTATTTACATTGGCATTTTCTCCTCATCACCCCATCTGTACCCCTTCCTTACCCGACCCAATCAATTAAGGGAAAAAAGCATGTGCTGTCAATTACTAGCATTCCAAATCATCACAGACTTTTGCCTGTTCTTCAACTAGTTTGAAACTGCACTGAAAGGATGCATTGTCTGTAATTTTTTTGTAAATGACATATCACCTGTAAACTGAAAAAATAAATACTACCTTCAAGTATCTCTCTCTGACATGTATAAGAACAGGTTTTGATGAAGGGGTTCTCTGCAGTGGTGAGCTCTGTGCTTATATTGTAAATCTAGGAAGAGCTGATAATTGACTCCTTGTCATCTTCTCTCACTTCAACCTTTAAGAAAGAATGAGGAGGAGATTTGGAATCAACAAATCTGATCTCTGCTTACTTCCATCACCCACAGAGGTATGATCTTGAGAGCTGGAGATTACAGGGGAAAGGAAGTTGAGCCAGGAGGGCTGGGGATCTCAGTAGCTGTGACCCTATTGATGTGTGTATGCAGCTGCATCCCTGTGATGAAAGGGACTTTTTGTGAATGCCTGATACAGTTGGTTTTATTTTAAACCAGGTGTGCATGTGAACTTTGAAGTGAGACAAGTATTACTGCTATTTAAAAAACAAAGTTGAAATTTAGGAAGCTAGTACTGAAGACTTGGATAAAGCAATGTATCCTAGAGGGACACTCTGGGAAGTTGCTTCTACATACAATTGTCTAGCAACTTACTTTTGATCCTGCATGGTCCCTGTTGTTCATGGAGACAGTGCTGTCAGGCACACAGTGTGATTCTTGGCATGTCCTGCACAGGGCCAAGAGTTGGGCTCTGATCCTGATGGGCCCCTTCCAACTCAGCATATTCCATGGTTCTAAGCTGTGACTTTAATTACTAGGATCTAACTGCAGATGGAAAGGGAAAAGGGAACTAACAGACTCTGAAAAGCTATACTGTAACTTACTCTGCAGCTATAAAGAGCAGCTTTAACCAGCCCAGCAATAGTAACACTGCCCAATTTCCTGCCATTTCTTCAAAAATAATTTAAATTCTTGCAGGCTGAAATTCTGGAACTGTTTCAGGGTTGTTAGTGATTAGTTTCCTGTACTTACAGAACACTGGTGCACATGTGTTGTATGGATACCTAGAAGTGCCTGTTTTCTACCAACACAGAGGTTGAGCATTGGCTGTTTCAAGCGCTGTGGCGAAGAACTGACAGTGTACTTTTTTCAGGGAAAGCCTCACAAATTCACAGCCCCATTTGCTTCACTTCTGAGTGCAGTGCACTAGAGACCCTACTGAATAAATACCCTGCTAAAACAAGGTGCTTAGAAGTTGTCCTGATAGACTGAAAAGAACTGAGCTCATGGCAGCTCTTCAGCTGAGTTCACCAAAGTAGTTTGTAGTAGATTTTCTTCCATCCTCTCCATTTGGGATTCCAGGGGAGGAGTTCAGACCACAGATTCTGTTACCTGTTGCAAACTGCACTTTGCATTTCTCAGATTTAAGTGGTCAGCCCATGAGAGTCCTGCACCACTTTAATCCTCCAAAGGTAGTATTTATTTACTCCTGTGTGTTGAACTAGTAGAGAGAGGGGAGGGAAAGAGATGAAATAGTTATTATGACTTAGAAGTTGGAGCCCAGCAGTGGCCATCATGGATATGGGTTGTTGAGTATGTGGGAAGCATTAATCTAATGCAGGAGACTCGGCTCAAATGGTAAATTGTTAATTTTTTAATATTTATTTTTCAACAAATAAACCTTCCTTTCACCTTGTGCTCTGTGCCTTGTTTCTTAAAATTCCAGTGCAGTATGTACACCAAAATGCAGTGAAAAGTACAGACCAAAAATACAGAATGCCACCAAGTGGAATGGTGGGATCTGGCTTTTGAGGGGAAGGATGTGTCAGGGCTTGGCTGAGTGTTTGTTCTTGTTTATAAAACACACACCAAGCTCATTGCAGAGAAGCCAAATGTTAAAAAAAAAGCCAAAACAAAACCAAAAATCCCTACAAAACCAAAAAACTGTGGGAAGAGAAGGATTGCTGAACATGAATAAAATATAAGATGGTTTTGGGGAAAATGTGGTTAGCTAGAGCAAGACAAAACCTTCTCTCCCTCCCATTTTTGTATTTTAGCCTTACAGGTGTTTTATGCTGCTGGAAAACCAAAAGCTTATCAGTGAAGGCTGGTAAGTTGCTTCTTTTTTTCATTCCAAGGAATAAAAAGCATAATTTGTACATTCTTTTTACAGTAAAAGATGTCTTCCTTCAAAACAGAAACCCCAAAACCAGAAGTGCAACATGCTTGGCTGGCTTGCAGTATTTTAAAGCAGTCTTTCACAATCAGTTTGTCTCCAGCAAAGGCAGCACAGTAAGGAATGTTTTCTCTGCAGTGGATGGTAGCAATAATGCATTCAAGCCTTAGGCAGGACTTGGTGCAGCAGGTTTCCAACCTGCCTCCCTCAGCCTTTTCCAGGCAGCAGAACTAAAACCCACTCAGGCATTCTGTTAAGGGAGCAGTATGGAGAGCAAAGGTGTGGCAATGTGTGAACTGCTGTAACACAGCAACCCATGTCACTTCAGCCATGAACAGGATTTGCCATAAGGAGAATGTAATGTACAAACCCAGACAAAACACATGAACCAAAACCTGCTACAGATTCTTCTATAGGAGCAGCTCTGTCTGGCAGCTTCTTGAGGTGTCCTGAATGGCACAGAGCAGAATTTGGCCCGTTTTGCTCAGTGTGTTAAATTTTAAGCTTCCCAAGTTAGAAGTAGGGCATTCAAGGACCTTGGTTAAGTCATGTACATCTAAAAAGGACAGAGTAAGAAGAATCATCCTTCTAGATTTTCTGACAATTCACTGAAAAATTCATAATACCAAAGCTGACTTCAGAGGGAGTTTCAGAGAACAAGATTCCCATTTCTGTGTTCTACAAAACAGCCCTCAGAAAGCAACTAAAACAATATGATGCATAAAAATCAATATTAATCACTGCTGTGTTGAACTGATTTCATCTCCATCTTTATCCTAGCTGTAAAATAGTATGAAATACTTAAGTATGAGAGGAGATACCAAAGTTATGTTTCCATCATACTAGAACTGCACCAAGTTTTTTGTTATGTGGTGGTTTCTTAACTGGCACATTAGGTAGTAAAAGGAAATCCTTCCAAAGATGAAGGCAACAGCCATTGTGACAGCTGAACCTTCCCTCTTCACCCAGCTTCACTTTTTCATCTCTACACCATAGAGATCACTACGCTTCTGGCTTAAAATAGGAATCTGCTGACGTATTTCTGCAAGTTTCTTTAGATCTGCAGGAGAGAAGAAAAGAGTTAAGAGAACAGCAGCCAAAAGAGAAAGCTCCTGACTTGCTCTGAGGTAAGACAGGGAAAAGAGCAGCTTTGATGGAGAATGGGGTGGTAGGGCACTGCAAGTGAGCAGCCAGGGCTGAAGGAAGCCTCAGCTTTGCTCTTTCCTGAGCTGGCACCTTGTCCCTAAGAAGTGATGTAGAAGGGTACAGCTACAGAGTACTGTGCATAGAACAGTAAAGCCAAGGGCTGCTGGTTCTTGCTTTAACCTAGCACAGGTGGACAAGGCAGAGGAATGCTACATCATCTGGAGTTGCATGTGTAAGACCACAGACTTAAAAACTCTGTCTCTCCTTAGTGTCATAACCTGTACTCAAGAAAAAAAGTGGGGAAAAAAACCAAAACAATTTTTCTCTTACCTATATCTGTGTATACAACTGTTTCCTCAGCCCCAGCTTTGGCTATGACTTCACCCCTGCAAAATTAAGCACATTTGTTCACAGGATTAGACATTGGTTTCAAGGCATCAGTACAGTTGCTGCTGTTTGTACAAAAAGGAGTTCCTATCCTTGATGCCTACAGCTGTAATGACAGGGCTGTCCTAAAAATAGCATCATAATCCATAACTCTGGCATGATAGAAATGGCTTCCAGGCTTTAGATATGGCACTTTCTATATGTGACATATACATACTTAGCATAAGCGTCTTTCAAAGATGAAGAACTGTGGTAAAAGCCACTCTGAGAACCACTGCCTGTGAGCATGCAGCATAGCTCAAGGGGAAAGGAACAACCACACTGGCAAAGATGAACACTTTCTCCTTTGAAGACCCTACTGGCTTTTAATACTGTACTTTTACTCTGCATGAGCTACTGAACACGATCATGTCTCCCCCAAGTGTTCTGTCACTGCTTTCATCACATAAAGTTAAAAGCTCACAACATACACAAAGCTTTTCTTACTGTGCAAACAACTGGAGCTGAGCTATCAGTAGATTTATGTGAAAGAAAAACAACTGCCTGAACATTTGGTCATTTTACCTCCTGTGCACCTGCGTGACTTCTGCTCAAGTCAGAATCTCTCTTCTCTAGCTGAAGACATTCTTCTTGTTCTTTCTTATGTCAAAGCAGTGTTGTTCTTTGAGGAAATGAGATAGTTCTGTGTAAGCTGTTTAAGAGAATTACCCTATGCATAGCACATCATGGACTGAACTTCTGGGACAAGGTGACAAGGTCAGCAGTTCTACTAATGCTTAATCCCAGTACTAAGTAGTATCTTTACTACCAAAATGAATACACATTCAAACTAGTTCTTGTTTACTTCTTGTTTTTTCAGTTTGGCTGTTTTAAATCATGATCTTGAGAATGTAGGCTCAAGTCTCACGTGATTTTTACCAAGAATTTGCACTTTTAACAGTAGATGGAAAAGTAGGACTGAAGTGTGACTGCCAACTAACGTATTTTTTTATCAAAGAAAAGATGGTGTTTTTATTTTATTGAACTCACCATGGATTTACTACAGTGCTGTGTCCCCAGGCAACATAGGATGCTTTTTCATCTCTAGCAGGAGATACAGTAGCTACGTAGAGTTGATTATCAACAGCTCTGTGTTCACAGAAAAATGAAGGAAGGGAGGGAAAAAGTGAGAGGAATTGTTTTTTATAATACCATTTAATTAAGCAGAAGAGAAAGAATTCACTCTGAAGGACAAGCTATATATCCTCTAAATGACTAGCCCAAACTGAATGATACAAAGGTCAGAGAAAGAAGAGCCTGGAAAGAGAAGTCTCTAGCACCTGGCTCCAGAGTTAGTGCACAGAATATCTTGCAATTCACAGGTTCATCCAGTATGTAGCAGAATTGATTGAAGCTGACCAAATGAATAAACAATCTGCATTCAGCAA